GGTTGGGTGAGTACATGGTAAACATATCATGAAAAGCGGTCATATGATCAGTTGCACCCGAATCTAAGATCCACTGATCGGAATGCTGCTGACTTGTTAAAGCTGCATTAAAAATACCTCGTTGTGCCAYAAAACTTGAYGAAGGAGTAGACTCAACCGGCGGTGTTAAGAGGCSATAGAGCTGTTCAAGTTGTGCYTTCGAAAATGGAGGGAGAGAGGTGRCCAAATCTTGGGAGTTTGACACACTAGGGCCCACTTGATAGCYGGAGGAGCTGGTTCGAGAAGGTGGAGTATTTGTAGGTGGAGGTGGCCGATAATCCCCTGATAAATTCTTCCGTTGAGGACGACCATGRAGTTCCCAACACCGATCTTTTGTATGGTTKGTGCGCTTACAATGATCACACCATAGGTTGTTCCGACGAGTAGATCRGGATGAAGGTGGTGGTGGACCTCGTGCCKCCAGAGCTRATGATTCCAGTGAGAGGGACAGAGGTTTTGTGGGTGTATCACCCATCATYACACGTTTACGGCTTGACTCCCAGCGAACTTCTGCGAAGATTTCGTCAATGGCTGGGATTGGCTTTGTGGCAAGTAAGCGGCCACGCACATCATCTAATTCCGGACGAAGACCTGCAAGAAAATCATAAATTTGTTTCTTCTCGACGTGTTTGCGGAAGCGTTCAACATCCTTCGAGTTCTCCCATTCGAGATTGAGACATAAATCAAGTTTCGCCCACAACCTACGTAATGAGCTGTAGTATTGGGTGACATCGGATTCACCTTGTTGTATGGAACGTGCCTTATTGCGTAATTCAAACAATTGAGCCGAATTATTAAAATCAGAAAAGCCATAGTGAGCGCATTTCAAAGATCCTTTGCTGTTGAGTAAAAGATGAAGGATTCTTTAATGTCCTCCTCCATCAAGTTAATGAGTCATGCCATGACCATTGAGTTTTGTGCATCCCACACGGAAAAAGAAGGGTCAGCTTCATCTGGTTCTGCTATCGTGCCATTGATGTACCCGAGTCGACTGCGGCCACGAATAACTAGGAGGGCCGATCGAGACCATTGCAGAAAATTTTTTCCGTTGAGTTTTGGAGAGGTAATTTGGAGCGAAGAGCGAAGTGTTTTCAGAGATAGAGATGTGAAGTGTCGTGGATGTGCTTTTAGGGAGAGAAATTGAGGTCGTATTCGATCCGTCGGAACTCTCATCCTTGCGCACATCAGTCATCATGGYTGTTTTAACCATTCTGGTGTCAATCTAAACCTATCTCTGATACCATAAAAACTAAGGATAGAGACACCAGAGAGACATACACGAGAAAAGAGAAGAAATAAATTCTCAAATTGATTGATCAAAGATGAGGAATAGAGGCACTATTTATAGGTTACAAGAGGAAACAAAATCTAGGAATAACCTCCTAACTTTCCTAACAAAAAAGGAGATTTATTTGCTAAATTTAAACACAAAATCTAAACAACTTTAAAACAACTTCTAACTAAGTCCACATAATCTTAACTTCTAACTAATTCAAAATTTCTAAAACAGTCCGAAGACATTATCTCGTGAGTCATTGTAATCCAATTAGGTGAACTAAAAAACTATAAAATCTAAATAGATTGTAGTCCGACCAAATGAGAAGTCACTCTAACTAAATGACTAACCAAGTGAAATCAAAAGCCCTCTACAAAGTATCACTCAACTACGGACCCAAGTGTTTTTTAAACACGTTGATCCAAGTGTTTCATATCTACTCGAAACCAACACAAAATTGAGTGAAGTCAAGACTCGTGCTTTAATCACACTTATAAAAAACAAAGGAAGAAAAAAAAATTTGAAGCTTTTCCTAAGAGAGCCTTTTTTTTCATAACTCCAACAAATGAGATTTATGGAAAGTAATACGTATCTTATCCATTTAATTAACGAACACGAATTCTATTGCTTTTTTTTTTCTTTCTATAAAATTAATAAATCTTCCAGACTTGATAATTCTTTAGAATCTTCCCCAAAATGCCTTTTTAACATAAGTGGTTGATTTTTTCAATTGACTCTTAACATATGCAATTGGTTTTAATTTTGTCTTTTCCACGTTTTTAAGGTTTCAATTTTACCTCTCTTTTTATGTTTCATTATACATTTTAATGAAAGATTGTTATTAAAAGATGGAGTGTAAAATTGGAAAATTTAAAATAATAACAGAAAAATTGTACACAATCCTATGCACAGACATTTTAAAAAATAAAAAAAATATATCTCTGTCTTGTAAGTTAAAAAATTTTAAATTACCAGGTTGGTCTCTAAACCTTAAAGTTGTGTTTAATAGGTCTTGAATTTTAAAAAGTGTCTGATACTACACATCGAGATGTTGGAGACATAACAAAAAAAGAATAATTCCTTTGAAGAATTTCAAGAGGCCCAAGTAGGAAGGTCAATTAGCAAATGTGGGATAAATTTAGAGAAGACGTATGATCTTCCCCTCTTTTTAGTTGCTTTACCGATGTGGGATAAATTTAGAGAAGACGTATGATCATTTTTAAGTGTAATTGGTTCGACACATATTCTAAAAAACATAGATTGCAAGTGGATTTAGGATTTAGGTCAATCAATACATCTCATTATTAGTATGGAGATGGTCCATTTATTCTTGCTAATGAGGCTCAACAGATTTTTTACGTAAACGATCTTGGACTTTGTAAGAATTGGAAAGTTTTGCAAATAGTCTAAGCGCTCATGGGACGTTTCAAAAACAGGAGACCTTGAAAATGAACAAGTTGAGTTGTTAGAAGTAGAAGGTGGGATCGGAGTCGGTGAATATATTCATGATAACTCATTTTGTAGAGATGATATTGATCCTATTGTTGTTGCTTAAAAAATTATTCAAGGACATTGAATAGAGATATTATCATCAACGAGTGATGATAATTTTATAAACGATGAAGTAGACAATGTAGAATTATCTACCGATAATGGATCAAGCCCCATTCAAAATTCAAAATTGGATGATATTGATATGCAAATAAGTGATTATATGTGACTTCTTATTTCAAAAGTATCTGTTTTGCTGACTATTTCTTAKTATGTTAAGTATATAATGACTAACATATATGTAATTGTGTGTTTCAATTTAAGTCCTAAATGGTTTGGACACTCAAACGATACTTTGAACACTTTTAGACTACTTTGACACTTTTTAAGCTAGTCCGAAGTGCAAGGCGTTGGCTATGTGTTTTGGGTTCACTTTTAGCATATCCAAGATTACTCATCGTCAAAATGATGTGTTGGTGACTTTTAAGCCACTTAGGCACATTTGTAGCTAGTTTGGATTGCATTTAGCCTGAGTTTAAGAGTGATTATTGTTTATTTTAGTAAGTCTTTTGAACGTTCGAGTGACATTTTCAGTACTTTTAGGCCACTAAGACGATTTTAAGGTACGTCCTGGGTTGCTTTATCATCAAAATGATACTTTGAAGCTACTTAAACACTTTTGTAACTATTAACTAGTTCATATTGTAGGGGTTAGTTTTGGTTCATTTTTAAGCATGTATGAGGTCGTTTTGACACTCAAATGACATGTTCAGTACTTTTAGATCACTTATGTTGCAACGATCGTTTTTAACTTAGTTAATTTAGCGCTTAAATGTTTCGCTCAATTTTTTTTCTTGGTGTGTTAACTAGATTCGAGTTGGACTCTATAATTTTTTGATAAATTAAATTCCGAAATTTGAAATTTGGAAAAAGATTTTTTTTTTATATAGGAAAAAAAAGATTTTTAATTAAACCTTAAACTCAAAAACTTTAGAAATTTAACCGTATCTTTTTTGTCTTATTTTAGATTTCAATTTCCTCTTCCCTAAATCGTTTATTTATGAGGTCACAAAGCCACACCCATGACGTCATCATCACTTCTTGAAACTATAGGGTTTCTCTCTCTGAAATCCCTCAGCCGCCCCCACACCCCTCGTTCTCTCCCCTCTCCGGCGACCACACCCTCCGCAGTAGCACCTCGGCGACGGCAGCGGCGGACCTGGCGACGGCTCTCCTCTCTGCGACGGTCCGAAATTTCTGATACACACTTCTTGTTGGTATCAAGCCCAATCCTTATCGACCTCAGATCTGTAGTGATCCAGCCATAATCAAAGCTGTTTCAACATGAGTCACTAGGTAATGCCTCGTTTAAATCCTCTTTTTGGTTCGATTCAAGTGTTTTCGAATTCGTTTCTGACCCCGAAACCTTGTCTCTATTGTTTTAGGTGCCTGTTGATTAGAGTTTAGGAGCGTTGGGACCCTTGTAAGTAGCTGGATGTTTGATTTGTTGTATGATTTGTGTGTTGTTTGCTTGTTTGTTCTTGTGTTTAACATTAATTGTATGAGATATGGTTCTGTTATGGGTAATATGTTTCGTAATATATGTTCGCTTGACTATATAGGACTGTAAAGTGTTGAATGAATTTTTCTTTTGTATTGTGAATCGTTGAATAGCTTGTTTAAATGTTGCATTGTGTCATAGTAGAAGCATGCGGTAGAGCTGGATTCAATGATTGATGATAAAGAAAGAAATGAAGTTGATTTCTAATGCAAAGTTGATTGTTTTAACTTTTGAAGTTAGATTTGTTTGTTTCTTTTTACATTGAATCTTATGGTATGCCTCCATTAAAGAATCTGCTGCTATTCTCTGCCTGTGGTACATTGGAAAATGATTTGATGTCCAAAAGATGTTTTTTCCTTGGATTTTTCAAATGAATTTCTATTTAGGTGTTGCACTAGCCAATCATTTTCATCTTGTACCTTAGCTTGAAATCCTAGATTATTATTGTATTGATAGGATGGCTTTATCATGAGACATCATTCTATTTTCGGAGATAAGATTCTTTAATGGGATAGACACTGCTTCTTCTTGTGCTTGTATTCCCAGTTTCAACTTGAATTGAGTTATTCAGCAGCACATCTCTTTATCCTATATTATTTTTGGTTATATTATCTTTCGGGAGTCTATTCGATGCAGTCGTTCTAACTTCGATGAGTTTGAGTTCACGAAACGTCTGTAACGTTGATTTTGAATCTCTGTTCTTTCCAGGAAGGAAACCGGTCCAATGCAAATAGCTTGTCAACCCCATCCTCGTTTTTACTTCTCTATCAAGTATCTCTCTCTCTCTCTTTCTCTCTCTCAATTTTCCTTTGTTATTTTGTGCTCTAAAATGATTTTTTTACCTGAAAATGCAGAAGCAGCTCTAAACAACATGATGGATGGAAGAATGTGCAAAACTTGCATTCAAGCAACCTTGTTAAACTTGTACTTATGGGACCTCAGACTCGTAGATTTGCTACGCCTCTGAGCAAAAAGAGATTGCACGCAGTTCCAAATGCAGAAGACGGGTGCCCTTCTGCCTCAATGTCGGAAGACATCAATTCTAATCATGTGCTTAATCCTATAGGAGAGTTGTGGAATAAATGGTCACCTCCAAGATATCTATGGAGGGGGCTATCAGTTCTTTTTTTAACTGGGCAGGTCATTATGAGGACTTTAAAGGGTAAAATCCATTGGAGAAACACTCTCCAACAATTAGAGAGAGTAGGGCCAAGATCTGTAGGGGTTTGCCTTCTGACGTCTGCATTTGTTGGCATGGCCTTTACTATCCAATTTGTCAGAGAATTCACTAGATTAGGACTAAACCGATCTGTTGGTGGCGTATTAGCACTCGCATTCTCGAGGGAGCTGAGTCCTGTGATTACGTCTATTGTGGTTGCAGGACGAATTGGAAGTTCATATGCTGCAGAGTTGGGAACAATGCAAGTCTCCGAGCAAACAGACACGTTAAGAGTCTTGGGTTCGAACCCCGTCGATTATCTCATCACTCCAAGAGTGATTGCATCCTGCATCGCTCTTCCAATTCTAACTCTGATGTGTTTCACTGTTGGGATGGCATCAAGTGCCCTTTTGGCTGACAGTGTTTATGGTGTTAGCATCAACATTATCTTTGATTCAGCTCTGAGAGCTCTAAAACCATGGGATATCGTTAGCGCGATGATCAAGTCACAGGTTTTTGGTGCTATCATATCTATTGTGAGCTGTGCGTGGGGTATTACGACTTCCGGGGGCGCCAAGGGAGTCGGGGAGTCGACAACGTCGGCCGTAGTCATCTCTCTTGTGGGCATATTTGTTGCTGATTTCACACTTTCTTGTTTCTTCTTCCAGGGAGCAGGAGATTCTTTAAAGAACTGTATGTAAATTTCATTGAGCGCACTCATACACTTTTTACATTTTTCAGTGGTGAAAAGAGAATTCCAAAATCTGCTGTTTATCTTTCATGTGGAATCTCAGTTCATGTTTGTTTTTTTGCAGCTTTTGACAAATCATCATTCTACCAAACATTAAATGAATGTAATTAAAGAACACATTCGTTTTAAGGATATAACAATTACACTTTTCGGACATGTTTGATAATATTCTCATTTTTCATTTGTTAATTTTTATTTTTCACTTCAAATTCAAAAATAAAAGTGTTTGGTAACTGTTCTTATTTTTGTTTCTCATCTTTAAGAAACTAAATTTTAGAAACAATGAAATCGTTTTTTGTTTTTTTGTCTCTTTTCATAGATAAAAGTATTATTTTGTCCCTTTTTTACTTTTAAAATATGTAATAAATATCAAAAGATAAATATAAATATAACATGGAAATTTTGAAGATTTAATTTTAAATTTTAAATTTGATATAAAACTATTTTTTTAAAGAAAAAAAAAAGGTTACCAAACATATTTTCAAAAAATAGTTACTAAATTTTGTTCTATTTTTCTTGATTGAAACATAGGAAAGGGGAAACAAAAATAGAAAATGAGAAACGAGAAAAAGAAAAAAACCAATAACGTCACCAAGCAGGTTAAATCAATAATTTAAGCTATAATCTGAAATTTATCACAATTTAGTTTATTGTAAAAAAAAAAAAAAATCTTGTCAAAGACAAAATATCACGTAATAATTTAGTATCCATAGCTACATTATAAACTACATGAAGGGAGGATTTTCTCGTGTTTTTTTAACCATGAAGGTACATTTTTCAACTTTGATCGAAATCAAAATTTCTTTTTTTCTTTGAATAATAAAAGTTACACATTAACTCAACGCAAGTTCAAAATGAAATAGAATTTTCATCTCGATATACACTTAACTATTTAAATAGATCAAACAGCTTTCGAAACATCGCATTTGGCCATCAAAATCAAAGTTGAAAATGAATAAAAATTGTTCAAAGGCCATTTCATTTTGATTCTCATGCTCTCTAAATTATAGCAGAACCTGACAACAGATTTACTTACTACATACCATAAAAAATCGAATTACTTTTTACTTCCAAAAACATAAAATAAATTGTCTGGAAAAAAAATCATTTCCATAAACAAATTTAAAATTAATGGGGGAAAAAAAGCCCTGTAGCTGTTCCACTGTACAAGAAACAAAGCTTGTATCATATAATATTAACTATGCCACCCCAAACAAAACTGTGAAAATAATTAACCCAACAAAATTGATGAAGATCTCCACTATACAAACAAAGCCTACTGATAAATCAACAGTAATCTAACAATGCAAACTTTACATTCAAACCAATCTTACCACTCTCAGTCACCAATTTAGCAGCTGTTACCAACCAGTGTCCCGGAGAGTCATGCGGCCCCCTTACCACCTCGGTCGTATCGACATATTTAAGAAGCTTTTTAGATCGAACTGGGACTGGCGGAGCCTCTCCATAGACACCGGAGTTCAGAGCACCGGGGACCTGCTTGTTTTTGTCAGCAGCAGGTCGCTGTGTGAACGAAAATGTCGTGCTTAAATTCGTGAGGAAAGTCGACTTGCGAGACGCTCCGGGGGCGGCAGCCCATTCCGTTCTTCGAATGGTGCAGTTGGGCATGTGGGTGTACTGCAGGCGGAGGTGAAGTATTGTCTTCGGCCACTTCCCCTTGCTGATAATCTGAGCTCCTGTTACAATGTAAACACCATTTCCATCTTGCTGCAACCAGTTGGGATCGTGCCTGACGGCTGAGGTGCACACATTTGAGTATCTTTTCCATTTGACAGGTTCGAGGAATTGGCCGTTGCAGTCCCCATCATCGGAGCCTCTCCATTGGCACCGGCTTGCTACGTCGGAGGAGCTCATCAAACTAGCCATGACTGTTGGAAGGCTGGTTAGATGTTGTACGTGTAGAGCCAACCAGTTGGATTTCTTCCCTTCTAAATACAGGCGAAGGCCAACTAATGGTTTTCTACTACTCGTGACCTGAAAGGAAAATTCAAATACAGAAATGAGGTCAATAGTGAATGAGAATCACATAGCTGTAATCAAATGATATTTGGCAAGATTATTGATTTATTGTACGCATTAAAATCAATATTTAAGGATGAACAGTACCATTTATTCCAAGGAAATAGGTCATCCATGATAGAACATTAAAATAAAATAAGAAAAAGACCAGTGACTCAAAACATCATTTAACTAGATGTACATTTTAAAAAATAATTCTCAAACAAAATCTAAGATTTTGAGATAGTTTCTGAAGAAAAATGCAGCAACATTTATGGTTCCCTCTGTTTCTGCTGCTCATGCTGGGTATAAAACCTAGAAGAGTACTCATTCTCGATCTACTACTGGCCCTGCTCACTTTGTCATTTTGACAACCAAAACTTGTGCCAAGAACAAATTCAAAACTTCCTAATTACTATGTTCTCCAATGGTGATGATGCATGCAGCTTTTGTAGAATACAAATAGCAAAAATTGAATACCTGGGTGGAGGCTATATACATCCTGGGACTCATAAAAGCGAACTGCAGGGTAGGGCAAGTGGCCTTCTTCCTCTGATGCCCAAGAGGCAACTCACAAAAGTTCGGTGCCCACTGTGTCGGAATTTGGAACTCCAAGAAGTATTGTAAGTCTCCCAAAGAAGGTTTATCTATAATTGCAGAATCAATTCATCTTAATCAGTGAAAAACAACTTTAATCTCATTTAGAATTAAAATTCAGGGTTAATACTACTTTGGGATAAAATACTTGGAGGATCAACTAATAAATCAACACAAGTAGAGGCCAGGCTCAATCAGTTCAGAGAAGTCAATAAGTGCAACTAGAAGTGTTAACCTTTAGGGATTATTCGTTTACATCCCGTTTGAAGGACAAAAATGATTAATTCACATTAAATGTGTCTGATGAATTCTACCTATAGTTATAAGCGACATTAAGGTCTGTGTATATTTTAAAGGCTATTTCTCCAGAAATAATAAATGGGCAAGTAGCTCGACTGGAAATGAAACAGATAAAAATGTAAGGCGAAACAAGAGTGAACAACTACAATGAGCATGGCGGTGCTTACATCGTAAGTACAAGTTTATCGCATGGCTGAGATAGCCGCTGCCTGCAACCCCAGTCAGAAGAGAAGTAATAGGTACAAATTTGAATAAAATAACTTCTGGTTTTGAGCTAACAGTCTGAAGCCAGCTGGTATGACTGTGCAGGAAAGGATCTCCTCCTCTTTTAGAACAAATTAAGGTGATTCCCTGTTATGCAGAGAGTAAACATGAGGAGATTACATTGAAACATTTGTCATAGCAAGCTCAGATTTTCATTCTCGACTTACATCCTTGCTTGATGTTTCCGAAATACTAGCCAACTGTATGGAACTTGACTGTAAAATTCGCGTAAATATTTCTGGAACCTACAAGAGAAGACGTTATTCATTAACAACATACTTTCTCGATCATATTTCATCTTTTTTTAGGAAAGGAATTAAATAAATTTTTGTTTACATTTACTAGTGACTTACCTTAACATCTCTTTTTAACAGAGCAGAGGGACTTCTTCTATCAGAGAACAGAACATCTCCAAGATCCTCCAAATTTCTCCGAAGCTCAGCAGGAGGTATTGGTGAGGAAGGTCTCTGCCGTACTGAAATTAAATCTTGACCTCCAATAGCCATTCCTACTATTATATGCGTCCCATATGTCTGTATGAACCTGCCTACTAAAATTCATTAGTTAAAAAAAATGAACTCAAGAAGCAAAATACTGAGCATGGCTTTATATTAGAGTGTAGCAAAAGCCACGAGTTCAACTAATCCTGAATGAAGCCTAATGCAATCTCTTTTGTTTTTAAGTGGGGCTAATTGGACAGTTTCTATAATCTTTATAGCTTCTCAGGTATAGGATTGACAACTAGACCTCCCTTCCTCTCATTGCACATTCTTTTCTTTCAATACAAATCAGTTATATCCACCCACAAAAATTAGGAACTTGATGGTATTGCTACAACCAACTCGATATCGTTAAATTGGAAGGAAAGGACACCTTGAGAAATTTTGCATGGCAATGAACTAATTTGGTGTGTGTAAGGAGGAGATGGAGCTATGTGAGTGTTGTGAGTTTTGTCATAACCACAAAACTACTTATTCCTGCGACTGTTATGAATACTAGAGAATCACTCATCACTGTCTAATAATTAGTGTGTATTACTAAATACAACTAAAAATTTATAATTTTCTTTTGAGTTCATGTCAAAAAGGGAAGAATCTAAGCAAATAAAAAATGCATCAAGAATTGTGTATGTTTGTGTGTGTTTGTTACTATTTAATTTCACACAGTGTAATATTTGAACATTTTTATTTTATTTTCATTTATCAATGAAATTTTCATATCTTGTTAGAAAAAAATATCTAATTTCACAACTTGTGAAATTAGTTTGCATCAGTCATCACATCAAAGGTTCAGTTGGTAACTGATAGTTTTCTTTTGGGTTCGTATCAATAAAACAATATTCTTAGCAAATAAAAAAATGGTTCAGGAATTGTGTAGCTGGGCAGGCAGCAACTTAATATGAAAAGAAAAGGCAAGCACAATATATTGAAAGTACCTGGACAATGATGCTGGATCCCAACTAGATGGAACAGCTTTCTTCACTTCATCTTGTAATACGAGTGGAGACGCCGTTAAATGCAAATAGTATAGAGCAATAAAATAACCATCAAAAGCAAGATGATTTGCATCAGCAGCATCATGAAACCAGTCTCCACTCAAACCAAACATAGAATTAAAATAGCCGGAAGGAACTTTTCCTTGTATGGAAGATTTCTGATTCAGTAACTCAGACATCTGCATAGAAGATGCATGGAAGCAAACATATGAATCTTAATTGAAGAATTGTATTGGGAAATGGGAAAGCAGTCCAACTCAGTCAGAATTTTTATTAAAAACAAAAATAAAAAAGAAACTATTCATTAACGAAATGTGACAGCTATTTTAAAGGTTTTATACTTCCTTAAGGAAGATGAAGAAGTTTCCCCTGTGCTAAATCACAAGGACCTTTACAATAAAGCCACCAGTTCTAAGTCTTCAAAGATAAAATTAAAAAAAAAATGCCAATTACAACAAAGATTCTTACTAGAATAGTTGCAAAAGACTTTCGAACTTCTTGCACACCAAGAAGCCACCAAAGAAAACTTGGAAAGTCCATTTTAGATTTACATTATGGAGGTAGGTTTAGATGATAGATATAGAGGAGGTATAATATACATGTTTTGAAATGCATAAATTTACATCTGGCGCGACCAAATTTTAAATATACATGTTTTCCCAGTACAATTTGCATTCTCGAGTAATTCAAACTCTAATAATTGAGACTTCGTTTGATAATATTTCTTCCGGATCCTTTTCACATTTCTTAGAAACACATTTGAATTCTTAGCCAAAGTTTAAAAAACAAAAAAGCTTGTAAAAACTATTTTCTTCAATTTGCAAATCTTGATTTAGGATTTTAAAAATGTTATTGAAAAGAAAAGAAGAAAACAAAACAAAGAAACAAATAGGTAGAAGTAGTATTTACAAGCTTAATTTTCAAAAACAGAAAACCAAAACAATTAACAATTAACATCCAGCAAAATCTTCAAGAGATTGGTTTGTTCACTTGATATATGAACATCCACAGAGCTCTAGAGAGCTCGTGACTGTGTTCAATTCTTCATACTTCCAGTTCTTTAAGAGAAACAGATCAATTAAACAGATAAAAAGCAAAACACTCAACATATAAATTGAATTGAACTTTAAACTTGAATCCATAAGATTAAATGAAAAAAAATTTCTCACGCAGTAGACTGATAAGTTAGGCGAAGTTCAATTCGCGAAACACTCGTAATCAAACCAAAAAAAATGTCCACGATCAAGCACATGAAAAGTGCATCTAAAGAAATGGAACCTGATTGAACTGAAGAACGTCGGATTTGAAGCGGATTCGATCTCCTTTATCACAGCGAATGTCCTGAGAAACTCCCCGAACAACAGCTCCGTCGGGAAACACCATATCTCTTCTGTTTGAGTCGTCGACCACCACCAACCTCCGCCCTCCGCCGCCATACCCCTTCACAAATTTCAGCCGGAAATCGTTCGTCAGATCAAACCCACGCCCCAAACACTCCAAAGCCCTAATCTCAACGGGCTTCTCCGACGCCGGCATAGCGGAACGATGAAATCAAATCAACCAAGAATCGGAGCAACCACACGAACAACACGATAAGATTCAAATGGGTCAGAAGAAGATGAAGAAGAAGAAGTAGGTACAGATCTGAAAATTTGACCTGCCCCCAAATTTGACCAGACAAAATACGATTCATCGTAGACTGACAGCAGACCAAATACGAATTGAAAAATACTGAAAAACATTTGGTCTGGTTTTCGTTGCTGAAGTGAGAGGGGGGGAAAATTGATTGCGACTTTTGGGGAGAAAAAATGGAAAATTTTTGTGGTGAAAAAAATGGATACGGCGGAGCGACGGCGGCCCCACGTGGTTTGACTCGGCGGCGGAAACGGCGGCGGAAGGTGCCTTGGAAGTCAAATTTTTGCCTCCGCCGATTCGATTACCAAATACCAACTCCCACCTTACTTTTCAAAATTTCAACCTAAAAGATATTCTTTTCAAATGCCAAAATCAAACTTCTAGGAAAAGAAAGTTCAATTTTTTTTCCTTTTTTATTTTGCTGTTGAATATGATAAGGTACCCATCAATTTGTCATGATTTGGTAACAAACTTTTTTTTTCTTTCTCAAGTAGGTTTACTTTGACCCTTTTTTTAACCGAATATTTAAATCTTCAACACACTGCTTTAACATGAATATGTATGACAAAAAAAAATCTATATGGGATCTGATCCCCGCAGGTATCCAACCAGATCGGGTTAGGAAATTCCTTATTTGACCGAAGACATGGTCAAATTGGAGATCATGTTCGAGTTCGTCGACGAGGATGGGAGGGGATAGGGGGAGGTGTCCTCGCCTTGTTTAATATTTTACTAATATCTTGTATTTTTATAGATAACAACATAACTATATATTAATTATTTTATATAATTTTATAATTTTTAAACAAAAGAACTCAAGCTTTATTTCTTCTTGTACTAGTAGTAGCTCAATTTCTTTATAAATCTTTCTTAAAAAAATAAATAAATTTTTTCAAGGTGAAGTAATGGTGAGCTCGACTGGAGTTGGGACGGGTTTCCTGTTGAGAACACATCCCCAATTGAGGAATCTCGTCCCGTCCTTGCCCACAAAATTTTGGGGATGGGAAGGGGATGGGGAAAAATCCCCAACGTGACAGGGATGGGGATGGCCCCGTCCCACCCTGTTGTTCTCCCTAAACATGAACCTCATTTAAGACATTTTGCTCTAGGATGAGAATTCGAACTTATAATCTTTTGATCGAAAATAGGTGTCTTAACTAGTTGAGTTATGCTGGCGTCGGGAGTTAAATCCAATTAATTATTTTAGTCCACACTTTTTGATTTACTTTTAACAAATGTAAAACTTGATTACTTTTACCTATGTGGAGTCACGATTATTGAATGATCAAATATTATGTGCAAAATAATATATCAAAGACTAAAAGGATTATTTTTAAAGTTAAAATAAACATTTTAAAAAATCAAGGGGTCTTATTTTAAAACATTTTGGAGCTAAAATTGGCATTTTATAAATTCAAAATCTAAAATGGAACCCGACAAAATAAAATGGTATGTACTATACAACCTCTTTTAAAAGTAACGCATCAACTCCTTTTTTATTATATATTTTCTTCTATAATTTGTTCATAATATTTTGAAAAATTAGTAAATATTCTCCTAATGAACATGTAGTCAACAATATCATTAGTAAAGATTATATAAAATTATAACCCAAAGTTTAGAGACTTGTGATTTGATGGAGTAAACTTATTATGTAACTTTAGGAGGGGAGGTTGACATAATTAAAGGAAAAAAAAAAGTCTAAAAAGTTATCAAAGAGATAAACCAATTTTGACTAATATAAATGATAATCAATTTAATTATATCTAATTAAAATAGACTGGTTCAATTTGGGTAAGTTAAAGGTTAGTTTATTAGTTTTGCAGCAAAAGAGAGAGAGAAAAATTAAAAATTAAAAGAAAAAAAAAGCATAATCTATAATTAAAAAGTAACATCGAGCATCTTATTTTAAAAATATAATTGATGTGATCTATTAAGTCATAGCTTTAATTATGAACTATTTGCAAAAGGTTGTGCATGTAATGTAATTAAATGCAAAAGAATGCAACTTTGAATTTTTAGTAAAATATATCTTTGAGTCAATGATGGAGTATGATTAATTAATATTGTATTATCAAAGCTAACAAATAGGTTCATTATTAGTTGAAAAACTTGATGAAAATTTTATAGACCTATTTACCTCGAAGAAAATATTAAAAAAAAAGTGTGCRGTCAGAATTGGCGATAGATGCCTAAACCAGTTGATCTATGTTTAAGTTGGCGTCTTTATTGTTAATATTGTTAGTTAATTATTGATCTGATATATTAATTGGACTAACGAGTGATGATTTGATATGATGTGACAATGAATGATACAAAAGAGTAAATTAGATATTTCATTTGTGTGCCTCAAATTTTTTGGTACGTACTTCGTTATTTATTTTATCCAATSGGTGAACGCYTACTTTTTTATGCCGTTGATGCCTATTGCCTCGTCCTGCCAAATCATGGTAAGATCTTGATGTTATGTTTGAAAGAAATTAACGGAGGATTTGTGAAATTCTTAAAATTTTTGTTTAATTGTAATTTTTTTTAGTACAATAAGTGGTGCGGGGGATTTGAACTCATGATCGAAGACCGGTGCCAATTACCGTTGAACTAAGCTAATGTTAACTTTAATTACAGAAGAAAATTTTAATATCAACAATCAAATACTTTTATACCATCTATATTCTACCCATGATATTTATCTACATATTTGATATGAATAGAGTTAATTATCAATGATTTGTACTTTTATTTTCTGAAATTAAATTCTTGTAGAGGAGTTGTTGTTCATGCAATTATAAATAATTGTTAATTTATTTATTTGGAATCATTCAAATTTGAGTTTCTATGTAAACTGTGTAATACTAGCGAATATGATTACAACGTAACTTGGCTACAAATAATTACAGAATTTGACAGTTCAATAAACATCAAAACTCAATGAATTCAGTCGAGACATGTTTCAATAACACTAACCTGAAAACAAATATTATTACTGCTGCACAAGTTGCTAGCAGACTATAATAATCGTTTCAGTAGAATATTATGACTAACTTCAGTAGAACAGCAACCTMKAACTACTCGGATCTGACAAAACTTTTAAATACTTGCTCTCAACACAAATAAGAACACGACAAAAGRTAGAGAATTCTTAGATATCTCAAGTAAATGAAAACAACAACTATATATACTTATCCAAATATGTAATATCTCCCACAAACATTAAGTAACTTTAAAACATATGTAACCCTTTTACATATGTTACATGTGTAACTTTAACACATAAAGTTACACACTTTATTAGAACGACAAATTAAATGAAGTAAATAAAGAATTTGTTATGTAATTAAATTTCTCGATTCAAAGACAAGCTGTAAATAGATATATTCACAACGTATATGTGAATAAATCTCTTTAAAATTCACTTCTCTTTTGAGCACTCTTCTTATAATCCTTGCTTATTTTCTCTTCCGATCATCATTTGTTATTACGATGAACATGATACATCAACATTTAACTAGTGACATTTATTTAAAAAAAAAACTAGTGACATTAACGACAATAATTTATTAGAACCAAAATGAAAAAGAAATAATGATGTAAGAGTTCAACTTTGTTTGATAACGATTTCATTTTTAGTTTTCTATTTTAAAAAATTATACTTGTTTTCTCCACATATTTTTCACTTTTCTTCCAAAAACATTTGAATTTTTACCCAAATTTTAAAAACAAAAACAAGTTATTGGAAACTACTTTTTTTAGTTTCTAAAATTTGGCTTATATTTTGAAACGTTTTTAAAACAATTGAGGATAAGAAAAAAGAAATATATATAGGTGAAACTAGTGGTTAGTAATTTTAATTTTCAAAAACATAAAACTAAAAATGCATTTTATTAGTGATCTGAAAACAATAGATTCAATGAAAACATGAGTTTTCAAATATGTGTTTGGYAGTAGGTTTAGAAATTGAACCTCAATTTAATAAATTGTTCAAGGTGTTTTGTAAGCCAGTGCTAGTTACTAACTAAATACTTAACTAAATCTAAAATAATATTAATTGATTTATTAWTGTATATATATTATAAATTTTGTAAAAATATTATTTTACAATATTATATATTTTAACATTTTTTTTTAATTTTAACAAAAATGAAATGAGTTTATATCAGGATATAATATATTTATCAAATTTTTTATCTTTCTTTATGTAATTCTACGTTTTTAAAGTTTCAAATCCAGAATCTGAAAATATTAAAAATGTTTTGCAGAATTTCTACTATTTGGATCACAGTTTTCGAATTCAAATTTAACAAATAGTTATTTATTGAATCTATTTGATTTATTAAATACAGAATGTGAATCGCATACCAAACCGACCCTGAGGATCTTTTCAATAGTTTTTTTCTTTTCTCTTTGAAAAAGTCTTTTCAATAGTTTATACATAAAGACCATTGGAAAGTCCTTCAAAATGCACATCTCTTAAATTCCAAGTTGTGGAACTATAGTTGTGAAAATTCTCCTTCCCCTCTTGGTGATTTTTGACCAAGGTTGAGATCTAAATGAAGAATTCCTTCAAAAGGAAACATTTTTTGAACATCTTTTAAAGGATATATTATAATTATTACAACAAATATCATATACGATACTGAATGTTATGTATTTATGTCATATCCTAAAGTCTAACCATTAATGGTGAGAGAAAGCTACGCGAAACTTTTCGATAAACGTACTTTTAAAAGGACTTCGATTAAATTGATCTTTCTTTTAAATCTTTTATTTATCCACTCCTAATAAAAAAGTCTTCTTGATGATCAATATATTTTGACAACAAAATTATATCAAGCCATGTTTCGTTTCTACCCATTCTAGTATAACAACGATAGTTGTGACTAGTACAATCTGAAAGAGAAGTTATTGATGATGTATGTAGCTTCATTGAGATATGTCACGTGATAGCCAAATCGAATAAAATCTTCCTTGATATACCTCGACTGGAAAAGTATACTAGTTTATTATAATACCTTATTGATATGAACATGAGTCAACTGGTCAATATACTATACTTACTTTCATCTATATTTTCAAAATCTTAAAATTTTGTCCTCAAAATGTTCCAATTAACTTTAATTTTTTTGTTATTCAACCCAACAAAAAGATCGCATGATATATTTTATAATAAACTTGGGTGACATGACAACTTGAATTTTTAATTTTTTTTGTTGTTTAATTACTATTTTATATTAACTTTATTTCATTTTGGTTCATATATTAAAAACGTTCATTTTGATTCATGTACTTTTAACTTTCGTTCATTTTAGTCTTGTACTTTAAAATTTTATTCATTTTTGTCTTATTCATTAAATTATGTTCAAACTGATTTTGTAATTTTATTTTTAAAAGTTACCACGGCACATAATTTTATTATACAATATATCATGTCATCTTTATGTTAACCTAAGTAAAAGAAAATTATATATCTAAAATGGATTTTCCTGAAAAATGTAAGATTTTGAAATTAAGGAATTAAATTAACCTTTATTCAAATTTTTTAGACAGTCATTTTTTTAAAATTCAAGATCTAAAATAGATCCTTTTGAAAAGTCAAAATAAAATAATTTAATATGTATTTTCTAAAATACTATATTTATTCCCTTTAATTAGTGTACCCTGCCGTTTGATTTAGATAAATTATTATAGCATTTCATACTTTCTTAACTGTATGTCAATAAAGTAAGCTCCTAAAGTTGAGGAGAGAAAAAAAAAACAAGACTTACCTCCTAATTAATTTAAAATTTTATATCCAAAGAAAAAGAAAATTCTTAGTAATGTTTACGTTTTAAGAAATATATTAATTATTAAGTATAGTATAATGTTGAAATTGTGATAGAAAAAATGAGATTAATAATAAAATTAAGAGACTAAAATGGTCATTTTTAAAAATAAAAAAAATTAAAATAATACCTGAACTAAAATAAAATTAGAAAATACAGAAATTAAAATAAATACTTTTAAAATACAGCACTAAAATCTAACAAAGATTTAATTAATAGCGAAAAGTTTTCAACTTTTCTCATTTTACTTCATTATTTCATTATTTTTCTTCGGCTTCCCTTTCCAAATAAAGTAAGAAGCAGAATGTCGTGGCCACGTCAGAGAGTAGAGAAAGCCACGTGGACTGAAACTGAAGGCACGTGGCACGTGGAATCACGACTCGTGCCACGTGCAGGACCGCATGCGGAATAAAATGAAAGAAACCGAAGGGCAAAAATTAACATTGACCGGAGAGAAAAAATGTCGAAGCATCCGGAAGTTCCCGGCGAGCCGACTCAGACCGGCACCGCCGTCCTGGAAACCGCCACCGCCGCCGTCCAAGGCTTCCGGCCGATCAACCAGATCCACCAGCACCTCTGCGCGTAAGTCCCTTCCTAATAATATACAAAATAATATACCCATCAACGTTAATTAATCTTTTTAACTTTTTAAAATTCTAGACATGGGTAATGTTAAAGTGCTAAAATGAAGTCAAAGATATAGTTCAATTGGATTAAGATACTTATTTTAATCGTAATTTCTGTTGAGATATCCAACCCATCAACTTAAAAACTTAAAAGAAAAAACTTAAATTCTTTAGTTTAGCGGCGATTTATCTTATTTTAACATGATATTAGCGCAAAAAATCAGGTGTTTGAATCATTGCATCGTTTTTTTCTTCTTCATTATGCTTAAGTTGTATCAAAGTAGGAGGTAGGAGGTCATGTGTCTGAACGTCTCTGGAAATGACATAATTATTATTATTGGGTAATGTTAAGTGCTAAAATGAAACTTTTGAAACAATCTAATTTACAAAATTTAGGGGTATAATTGAAATCATCTACGCTAAGATTTTTTTACATGTTTTTCATTAAGAAGGTTGATGAAATAGGTATTTTTTTAAACAAATTTAAAGGTAGAGGATAGTTGAAATTTTATCCTAAATTTAGGAGCACTCGTGTGAAAAAAAGTTTCCAAAATTGGTAAGATTTTACAAATGAGTATAATATTTTATATATCTAGGTGAATAAGATATTTATTACCCTCTCAAATTGAATTGAATTGACTGAGAATATGACGATGGATTATTCTTTTCACTTAATATAAGACTTATCAAGTTCTTCCTCTTTTTTGCGACATGTTAATTAGGTTTCATTTCTACTCGTATGACATGTCGCGCCAAGTGGAGGCGCATCACTACTGCGCGCACCTGAACGAGGAGGTGCGACAATGCTTGATCTTCGATAGCCCGGAGAAAGATGCAAGACTAATAGGGATCGAGTACATGATATCAGAGGATCTGTTCTTGACGTTGCCCGACGACGAGAAGCCGCTCTGGCACTCGCACGAATACGAGGTCAAGAGCGGAATTCTATTCCTGCCGAACGTGCCAGGCCCCATCGAACGTCTCGATCTCGAGAAAGTTTGCAAGACCTATGGCAAGACGTTCCATTTCTGGCAGGTACCACTGCTACAAATATGAGCTTCAATAAACGCTATTTTTCCGAAACATTTAAAAACCTTCATGAAAGGGAAAAAAATCTTACTAAATACACAAAATACTTTCCAAACTTTTATTTAGTTGTTCTAGTCATCTCTCCAAAATTATAGAGAGTCAGAAACCATTATATGTAAAAGTTAAAAGAGTATAAACTTTTGTTGGTTTTGAACTTAGGTTTCTAAGGCTTTAGTTTTGTGGATTTCAATTTAGTTTCAATATCATAGTGCACAATAGTTTGAACTTGATTTCGATAATTTTAGTTTTATATCCTTCATGTGAGTTTACATGATTTCTATTTAGTTTTGAAGGACAATATGTGGTAGGGTTTCGAGCTCGACTTTTTGGTTGGTGCTTAAATCAGTTGGTCGATGATAGATGTTTAAATCAAAGTGTTTAGGTTATTAGCGTGTATGATTGAATAAGTAATTTGATTTGAACAAATTTCATGAGAACATCTCGTAGCATTACTAAATTCAAATCAAGATTTTTAAATTGGATAAAATTAAATCTAATTTTAATCATTTTCTAAAAAGGTTGATCGAGGTGACATTCTACCGCTCGGCCTCCCACAGTTGATGATGGCACTGACTCGGGATGGCCAGCTCGACGAGAATCTAGCGCAAGGTAAGAAAGCCTCCACCATTGATAATCTTAAAAGCAAGGAGGTGTTTTGTAGAGAGTTATGGTTGATGGTTGACTGCAGACGTTGAGAAGCGGTATGGAGTTTCGTTCGGGGAGGAGAGGAAGAAGAGGGAGTATATGTCGGGGCCAGAGCACGGCGTGCACCCTTTGGCAAATGGTGCGGGGAAAGGGCTGAAGACGGAGCTCAGGGAGACGACGATGCCAACGATCGTGGCCTCGGCTACGAGAGTGTTTGTTTGAGAAAAGATATGGTATGGTTTAATACTTTGGATGTGCATAATAATGCATAGAATGTGTATATATGGATGTGGAAATGAACCAATAAGTTCTCTTGGGGGTGTTGGTTTTATAGGTTGAGTCTTTTAATGTAGTGAATAAGTACTTATTTGCCAAAAACTACTTTTATTGGATAATAAAATTGGAACTTATATTTTTAAAGTTTGATATAATTACATTTTTCAAGTTTGTTAAGAGGTTTGAATTTCTACGCCCATTTTTTATGAACTTAAAAAAATATCATTGTAGCTTCTATTGGTGTTTTTTTTTATTTTTTATTTTATTTTTTTGACTTTGAGTYATTTATTTATTTATTTATTTTCATTTAACCATTGAGTTAAAAGAAATTCATTGAACCTTGATCTAAGATTTTAAGAGAATTTTTTTCTTACTTAAATGGAGTGTTTGGTAACGTTTTCAAAATTTTATTAAGAAAATTAACAACTAATTTTTGTTCTTTTGTTTAACTATTTTTAAAATTCTCTAGTTTTTTTGTCATTTTTAATTTGTTTTAGAACATAGCTTAAAATTAACAACTATTTAATGTTTCTTGTTTCTCTGCTAATAACTATTTTTGTTTATGCCTCAAAATAACTATTTTTGTTTTTTTGTTTAACTATTTTTAAAATTCTATAGAAATTTTAGAAATAACAAAAATAAGTTTTTTTTAATTTTTAATTTGTTTTAGAACATAACTCAAAATTAACAACTATTTAATGCTTCTTGTTTCACCACTAATAACTATCTTTGTTTATGCCTCAAAATAACTATTTTTGTTTTTTTGTTTAACTATTTTTAAAATTCTATAGAAATTTTAGAAATAACAAAAATAAGTTTTTTTTTTCATTTTTAATTTGTTTTAGAACATAAGTACAGATATTGTTTGAATCTATAAGTTTTGTTTCCCTATTTGAAATTTTGGAAATAAAAATAAATACAATATCATTCTTAAATCAGAATATAAATGTTAGGCCATATCAGGTTTGTTTCTCTATTTGAAATTTTGGAAATAAAAATATATACAATATCATTCTTGAATCAGAATATAAATGTTAGGCCATATCAATCTATTTTTTCTTGTTTCTCTATAAATARTAGAATATGTAGTTCTATTTATTAAAAAGTGCTAGGAAACAAAAGAAAAAAAATGATATGAGAATGTTATAGAATGAGTTTTTAAAGCTTCTTAAGAGATGTTTTCTACTCACTTATGGGGCTCGAACCCAGCTTCCATCTTGACAGGGCGGTGCAGAATTGACTTGAGGAGAAAATATTTAACAAAATCTACTCTATGTTAGTAGTTTATTTTTCTTTGTCAAAAAATAATCAATATATTGTAGTTTCATTTTCTTTGTCAAAAAAATACTCATGAAAGCCAAGTTAAATGTCATTTGATTTTTGTACGATGAGTTTTCAATTTGATCAGTTGATATGGTCATAGCTTGACGTTAAATTAAAAAAAGTTTACTTTGATCCATTTGGGATTTTGTCTTTTTTTTTTTTTTGTTTTCAACCATGTTTTTTTAGAAGTTTCAAGTTTTCAAATGGTATAACTTGTTATAAGTTGCTACAAAATACATTGCTATGGTATGACTAGAGCTGAGTAGAAAATATTTGATGAGATTTGATCCATGAAACTTTAAAACCTAAAGATAATTTGGCACGTTTTTCGACTCGGAACAACCGACTCAGGTGGAGGCTCTCTATTTACTCGCAATGTCAGCTGTTCCACTTTAGTCAAAAGTTTCAACCACCCTAAAATTATATCCCACCCCTCCCATAAAAATTTAGATAGATATAGCACTCCTTTCAAATGAATATTTTTCTAGATATTTTTATATGTTCATAATCCTTTCAAATGAGTGATATTTTTTTAGATATTTTTATATGTTCATAATTTATAAAAGAAAGGTTGATCAATGAGAGTAGTAGCCTATGACAATGAGAGTAGTAGTCTATTATTAGAGTAGTAGTTTATGTCTATTATAAATTTAGGTAAGCTCTCTTTTATTTTTTATTTTTTATTTTTTATGAGGTTCTTTTTTGACCGGGGTTGCTGAATATCAAAAACTTATTACACAAAATCCTATTTTTTTAGAACGAGTTGAAGGAGTAGGCATTATTTGTGGAGAAGAAGTAATAAATTGGGGGTTATCGGGACCAATGCTGCGAGCTTCCGGAATACCATGGGATCTTCGTAAAGTTGATAATTATGAGTGTTATGACGAATTTGATTGTCAAAATCAAGTGACAATCGGAAGAGTTGTCCATGTATATATGTAAGGTACATTTTCTTTTCCGATTAAAAAAAAATGTTGGCAAGTCTGAAAATTGTAGAGCAAAAAGTTTTGCACCAACATTTTTTCTTTTTCATTGAGAAATGGTTGTTGGGAGACTCCATGCCAAACGTCGGGATCTATCTCGAAGTTTTATAAAAGCGTCGGGAGAGACCTCTTTTCATCAAAGAAGCTTAAAGTCATATTTAATGCATTATGTATCATTTAAATTCATGTATTATTGTTTAATAAGGTTAGTATGTGAACTGGTGTAGGTTGAATTTAGACTAGTTAGCCAAGAGTTGTGTCTTTCAATTAATATAAATAGAGACGTATACTTAACCATGAAAAAAACAACATTTGATGAATTAAATTTCAGATTAAGTTTAGTCTCTCTCAAGCCTTAAACTTTCTTTGTATTGTTGTGTTTAGAATGCATGTTTAGATCTTTCAATCTAGTTTGATCAATTAGGCCGTGGAGAGTTCGAAATCTTGAATATAGGAACAAGTTCTCCTTTAATCAAAGCATAAATGTGTTTTAACTTTCTTGGAGTTAATTTATCATCTAGTTACCGGAGTTATTCTTATTATTGTTGTGGGGTTCACTTTGAATAAGAGAGTTATTGAGACAGTTTTTCTTTTTCACATCTTGTTTGGGTCGAAAAAAAATAAAAGGAATTAGCTATCAATTATTAGAGATTATTACAATCACACCCTTAAACTTTAAAATTGATCAATCGTCCCTCTAAAAAAATTTAACTAAAGATGGTAAAATGCACAAACCACTCGCAAACTATAGATTTTTTATAATCAAACCCTCAAATTATATTACAATTATGCCCAAATATTTTTTTAACTTTATAAAAATGAAAAGTATAATATTAGCTATTAAAAAAATTTTGATTATCAGATTGATGCTGAGTTGACATATTGAACTTAAAAAAAAAATTGATGTAAAGAATCTAAGTTTAATGGTAAGAATCTAATAGTTCGAGGGTTAGAACCCCTATGGTTCAGGGGTGATTTGGACATTTTACAATCTTAAAGGGTTCAGTTGCAACAATTTTATAAATTTAGGAGCCTAATGGATCAGATTGAATCGATTGTAGTACCTCTTTAGTCTATGATAGTTTTTGTAATTTTTTTCAAATTAAAATATTCGAAAGTTTATTAAAGTAATAAGTACATTTATTAAAGTAATAAGTACAAAAATTAAGGATTAAAATAAAATTTATTATTTTTCATGAAGACGACATAGTTAGTTATCAGAAAATGGAAATCTAAAATAACAGATTCAATAAAACAAGAGTTGACTTTCATTTTCAGGCAATGTTTTTTTAGATTGATCTTCACTATCGTGCACCTTCCAACTATCAGTTGATGTTTTTGAATTCGTGTTTGGTAGTATATTGGAAAATCGAATATGAATTTAAAAATTATTCATGTGTTAGTTTTATATATTTGTAAAGTAGTATCGTTGGGAAATTAAGACTCTACATAATTTCCTATTCTACAGTTAAATCCAGCGAACCAAAGCTAATTATACACAATAAGAGATTAGAGGGGAAAAAATGATGACACAATGAATTTTATACTGGTTCACCCAACAATGGCTACATCTAGTCTTCCGTTCAGATGTGGGTTCCACTAATATGAGATTGGTATTAGCACTCAAAATATCTCCCCTCAAATATTCACTCTGTCTAAACAAAAGCCCTATAATTTCTAAGTATCATAACACACTATAGTTAGGTACAGAAATGAAACACTCACAATAGAATAAGATTTAATTATCCCAAATGATGTCAATCTTGCTATGCCTTTTTGCTGTCAATACCTTCGAGCCGCCACCTCTGAAACGCCACAAAAACCACTCTAACTTCGGCTGCTCAACCATAAAATGGAAAACTATAGCTTTTATAACGTCGACGGAAAAACGTCCGCACACCCCTCATCGCGACAGCGTCGCGTCGCTGCTTGCTCGACCTTCTTAACTTGCAGCACTTCGCTTCTTCCTTTTTTTTCATTGTTGCTTCGTCCCGACTGGTTCCGCGTCGATTTGGCTCCACCAATCCCAATAAGTAATATTTACCAATTAAATATTATGTTCAATCTAAAATATTATTAATTAATTTATTAACATGTTATAAATTTTGTAAAATTAATTTTACAATATTACACGATTTATAATATATTAGGTTTTACCTATTTAAATTTAACAAAAATAATAAATTCATGACATGAAAGGTATATTTATCAAAAGTTTTTATTTTATTTTTATGTAACTATACCTTTTAAAATTTCAAATTTAGAATCTGAAAATATAGAAACATAAAAAAGTTTTTAGAATCACGGAATTCTAAAACTATTGTCGAAAATAAATATGACAAACAATTGAATCCTTGATTTTACTTAAAAACAAAAAAAGAATCTGAATTCTCTAGCAAATAAGCTTTTCGTTAAAATATTATACTTTGAGCTCTGGTTCATTTTAGTCTACTTTTAAAATGTTCGTTTTGGTCCTATACTTTCTACTTTGATTCATTTTGGTTTCTATATTTTGAAAATGTTCATTTTGGTCCCTGTACTTTGAAACAGTGACCATTTTGGTCATTTCATTTTATTTTTTCTATCATAATTTCAACACCACATTATAATCAATATATTTCTTATAATATAAACATTACCTTATACTAAATTATTTTCTTTAGGTGTAAATTTTGTGTTAAAATCTTGCAAAGAGGGACTAAAATGATAACTTTTTAAAGGTAAAGGGTTAAAATGAACATTTTCAAAGCACAGAATGAACATTTTCAAATCACAGGACTAAAATGAACGAAATTTAAAAGTATAGGGATCAAAATAAACATTTTTTTAAGTACAAACACTAAAATAAACCGAGGCTAAAAATATAGGAACACAATTTTAACCTAAGCTTTTTTATCTCAAAATTTATCCAGTAATTTTTTTTTTGAGGAAAAAAATTTATCCAATAATGATTGTAAAAGAAAATTACCACAAATGCCCCTCGCCGCGTCTCTTTCTACGAGGGCTACTACTTAGAGACTGATATATAAGCAGAGGGAACTCTCATGCGAACCCTAGGATTCTCGTTGGCTTTGCTTCTCCCAATTTTCGCTGCAAAATTTTATCGGGAAACGAATTCCAAATACCAGAGGGAAATTCGGTGGATCGTACGCAAAATTTAAACATGACAGATTACGACGGGAGATACGAAGGTAATGGAGAAGACACGGACAATTATGGCGATGGTTTTTCTCCCCAAGTTCGTGGCGGCAGCCATGGTGGCCACGATACTCACAGTGATTCAAAATCTCAGGTATTTTACTCACACTCAAATAATACGTGCATAATTCATTTGTTGTTTTACGGTTTTGCTCTGATTTTGGGAATCGATGGTGGTGCTCCTAAGCTGAAATTTTTCGGATTGCAAATTCAAGTTTATTGTCATATTCTTAGTTTTAGTCATCAGTGGGACTGTTGAAGTTCGATATTCTGTCGTGGTTTGAACTTTTTGAGTATTCTGAAGGACTGAAACATCGTCTTCAAGTTAATTCTCCGAGACTTTAAAGGGAAAAAAAATTGGGAGACTGATTTAGCTTGCGGTTAGTCAATTGGGTCGATAGTAGGAGTTGGATCTGTTTCGGCTATGTACATCTTTTCTCAAGAATCTAAAAGACTGTAAGATCTTGGGAGTTGAGAACTGGTAGATTTAATTGTATTTTACGTAAAATAGTTTTCTATGTTTTCTTTGATTGAATATGTATTTTTTATCAGTGCACATATAGCAAGTGAAATTTAGAGCAATTGGTGTTTCAACTGTTGGTAGATCCCCTGCCCTGACGTAGTGTTCTTGAACTTGCGACCATAGTTTCATAGCAATTAGAAGACCGTTGGCTAGCGTTGGTTGTTAGTTGTCTGTTATGTTGATTAATGATCAGATATGATATTGTCAGTTCCATTTACATGTGTCTAGTTCCTGGGTCTGATGGAATGAAATTTAATGAGTATGATTTTTTTGCTACAATTCTGCACCACCTCTCAATAGGTCTTCTTAGACTTATATGGCCAGCAAGCTATGTGATATGTGTTTTCTGGTTAAAGTTGTGTTGTAACATAAGTTTTATCTTTTACGTCCTGTCTCCATGGTATTTTTTTAACCTTACACAATGATTATTGTTATGATTATATTGTTTCTTGCTCCATCGAAATAAATTGCTAAAGTGATGCATTGTTCATGTCAAATGATTTGTTCTTCTTGTTCACTTGGTAAGTGTATGCTATTCCCATGTTAGCTTTTCTGTGAGAATCTGCAGTTAAATTTACTTTATTAATCTGAATGCTCTCATAAACGATGGAACATTGAGAAAATATCGTGAATGTTATTCTTTTGCAGCGTGGTTCTTGTAAGTGCTATTCTGAGACACTGTCCTTTTTTTTGCATCATATAGACCAAATGAAACAAAAGCTTAACAGATGAGGAAAATACCTCTATTTGTGGGTTCAAATTTGTTTTCGTAGCTGCTACTTGGTTTAAACACAACAAGTTTTTTTGGGCAGCTATACAGTAATTGAAAGTCATTCTCGTATTCTCTTTCGTAGCTTGGGTTGAGACTTTCCTTCCTCTCATTTTTATAGTTCATTTTATGAATGAAATAGTTTCTTATAGAATAAGTGATAAAATCAGAATCTTACCGATGTACTATTCTTTTGCAGCATGGTTCTCGAGATTATGAAAGAGAGTCTTCAAAAAGTCGGGATAAAGAAAGAGAAAAGGGGCGTGATAGGGAGAAGGACAGGGAGAGAGATCGGGGTCGAGGTAGAGAAAGGGATAGGGAGAAAAGTAAGGATGGGGAAAGGGACCGGGAGAAGGATAGGGATAGGGATCGTGAGAAGGACCGTGATAGGGATCGTGACCGTCATCACAGAGACCGTCACAGGGATCGAGGTGAGAGAAGGGAGGGAGGCAGAAGTAGAGATGATGATGATTACTACAGGAGTAGGGACTTTGATAGGTAATGCAAATTCAACATCATTGCTTTCTGCATACATTTTATAGTTCTACAGATAATGTGTTCTGTATTTATTTGCTCAGCTTGTTTTCCATAATGCATTCTGTTAGAAACCCGAATATACTAAACGAAACTAAGTAACTATATTGCAACATCAAAAGAGAAATTACAATACCAATAGCCTTTGGAGAGGGCTATCTCTCTCCTTAGAACTCTCTTAAGTTCTTCCCCTTAAACGATTCTCCAAGGTGCCTTCCTTCCCTCCTACTACCTCTACTTATAACAAACTCACCCCTAACTAATTACTATAATGCCCCTAACTATAATGATAATACTATTCCCAAACTAACCCCAATAGGACCCTCACACATTCTCGGCTCTTACTTTTTGCACTTTAGAGCTCTTATGATGTGTCATTGTCATGTAGTGTTTAGAGAAACTTTATGTGGCATGCCAACACTTTTTTTGGGTTAAAATTACTTTCACCAAGGATGTAATAGCAAGTAAATTGGTCTGTTTTATGTACAGGCGGAGAGATTATGATAAAGACCGAGAAGACAGACATAGACGTAGATCTCGTTCTCGCTCAAAGGGAATATCTGAGCATAGGTCAAGGTCACCTTCTCCATCACGGTCAAGATCACGATCCAAAAGGTTGGTTATGGAAGTCAATAGCTTTATTTTTCTTTTATATTGTTATTCTGTGCATCTATCTGAAGTTTATGGGTTGAAAATTGAAATTTAGTAGGTTTTAATATTATGACTCTTTACTGTAATTATATGCTGCTGAACGGAGGGGCTTTCCCTTTGTATTTTGGGTTTAGGTTTGGCATGCGGGTAAATGTGAGCTGCAAGAATATGTTTAGAAGCTGTTGATTAGTATGTTGTTATTTAGGTCAACTGTATGGTTTTTGTAGAAATTTTGTAGCACTGTTTGTAGTTATTGTTTGTAATGTTAAAGATTGGCTTGTTATGGTTCTCTGGCATTTCTCCAACTGCATTTATTTTTTTGCAATTTCCACACATTGAAAAATTACTAATATTATATTCCCGTGTTAATAATGATGATAGTGAGAATACTATTTTGTGTAGGTCAGTATTCCACGAAGAAAGTAGTGAAGGTCATGTGGGAGAACTGTATTTTTTGTTCTCTCTTGGAGTTCCTTTCATCACGAGTTTTGTAATTATGGTCTTTCTTTGATTTGTACCAATTGATGAAGAGGCCTTTGCCTCATATATTTCCTTCGTTCAATGAATTTTTTTTCTTATTATTTTTTTTAAAAAATTGAACAGAAAAATGATAAGAACATTAGTTAGTATGTGGAATGCTTTGAAATATTTGTCTGTCGTTTCAATTTTAGGAGGTGTATAGTTAAGAGTTCCATTTTCCTCTGGACCATAAATAATTGTTATTTTATTCTTTTAAGTTGTCATGGTTCTCTAAGGGATGTTCATATCTTGTATTTGAGTTGTGTTAGGTGTATTGAGTGTCATTTTTCTAAAAGCAAGTTATATGGTTTGGAATCGTACAGCATTCTAACGTGAGCGACAGGTTATCTTTATTTGCTTTTGTAAGTGCTCCATAAGTTACATATATTCCCACACTGTTTGTAGTTTAAGTTGAATTTCTTCTTCATCATACAGGTTGTGTGTGCTCTCCCTAACTATGAGATTTCATGGTTCAGTGCCTTTCTACTTGTTTGGTCTTTGAACTTGTTATGCTGACATCCCTTTATCCGCAGCAAAAGAATTAGTGGTTTTGACATGGCTCCTCCCACTACTGCAATATTGCCTGGTGCAACTGCTGCTGCAGGTACCTAAATCCTCGCACACTGGAATATCCTTTTGTATTATTTAACTGCTTTTCTTTGTTGGATATAGTGTGGAAAGTTGACAACAAATTGCATGGTGTCATTGGGTAAGCTATATTTTGTTCCTTCATCAGCATATGTAACCGTTTAAAAATGTGATCTTTGGATGGGCTATATAATTATTTATTATTTACTTGGTACACTCATTCTGGAACTGAGAGGTATTTTGGTTTTTTGTTGCTTGTGTTTGGTGTTTGTTTGTTGTTTTGTTTCTATGTATCGTCCAATGTTGTGAGAAGACAATGTTGGGCTACTTGCCCCTCTGTGCCGACAATGGGCGTGAGCTGACTTCTGTAGCTTTTATATGCAAGAAGGACCAATGCACGGGTTAGATGGATCTTGTTCGTCCTCATCTGGAAACTTATTCCTTTTTTGGTAGTCTTACAAATATTACTCAGAATTTGTACATGTATAAAATTTTTATGCTTAAAAAATTTATTGGAAGAGACTAAGTTATACACCATATTGTGTTTCATGAAGCATCAAGTAGGTTCAGGTGATACTTGAAATATTATGCGTGTGCCAATGTTACTGGGTTGAATTGTGATTATTTTCTGAGATTTAGCCTAATTACTTTAGCAGGCCAGATGCCTGGGGCAACTCCAGCTATTCCTGGAATGTTTCCTACGATGTTTCCATTGGCAACGGGTCAGGTAATTCTGCTTCTCCCCTAGTAAAAAGAATGGAATGATACAAAATCTCAAAGCAAATGACATACCAATAATTTGATAGTATGTATGTATTGATCATATTTTACCTCGTTTTGCCATTTATTTGTTTTCATACAGCCCTTTGGAGCACTTCCTGTTATGCCAGTTCAGGCAATGACCCAACAGGTAATCATTTAGTGCCTTGTACCTCTCCTTGTAATTTGACGAACCTGAAAAACTGTGGTATGTGTTTGTTTTCAGGCTACCAGGCATGCCCGGCGTGTTTATGTGGGAGGGCTACCCCCAACAGCCAATGAACAGGTTTTTGTTGCACCTCTTGTCTCTCTTATTTGATTGGCATTTTATTAGATTTTTTAATTGAACTCCGTATCTTCATATATATTCTTGTTTTGGAGTTCTATGCCATTCATGCATCCAGGTGTGGTTCCTTAGCTAATTTGATTGTGAGTTTTGGTTTTCATTAATATTATGACTCTGTATCAACAAATATTAAATATCGTCATATCTGTGTTGACTTTACTATGGAAAATTTTGAAGAACTTTTGTTTGGGTAGTCTTTCTTTCTCGAGTGTATTGGCGTATTTTTTTCTATTTATTTGCCAGGTTTTTTAGTTAATTGGTTAAGACATACTGGAAACATTTTTCCATATAGTAGGATACCATATTTTATTCACAAAGTTCATTGTTGTTTGCAGTCTGTTGCAACATTTTTCAGTCAGGTTATGGCTGCAATAGGAGGAAACACTGCTGGTCCTGGTATGGTGATTTTTCAATTTCTATTGACACGTTTATCTTGGTGGTTCTTATTGCCATGTCAAGTTAATCAACTTGTATGATGATCGTCCATCATTTATAGGAGATGCGGTTGTCAATGTTTACATAAATCATGAGAAAAAGTTTGCATTTGTGGAGATGAGATCTGTTGAGGAAGCCAGCAATGCAATGGCCTTGGATGGGATCATCTTTGAGGTACTTAGTTTTGTTGTCGATTATTTCGTGTACATATCTTATGTTCGAAAAAAAATTATCCAGGAAAACAAATGTCTAATTTGTTACTTTTTCTGAATTAGGGAGCGCCTGTTAAGGTGCGAAGACCTAGTGATTACAATCCTTCACTTGCGGCAACACTTGGTCCCAGCCAGCCGAATCCAAATCTGAACCTAGCTGCTGTTGGTCTAACACCAGGTTCTGCTGGTGGTCTTGAGGGGCCAGACCGCATTTTTGTGGGTGGACTTCCTTATTACTTCACAGAAGCTCAGGTCAGAGAGTTGCTGGAGTCTTTTGGGCCCCTACGAGGTTTTGATCTGGTGAAAGATAGAGAGACTGGAAATTCTAAAGGCTACGCATTTTGTGTTTACCAAGATCTTTCAGTCACAGACATAGCCTGTGCAGCCCTCAATGGTATTAAAATGGGTGACAAGACACTCACGGTTCGGCGTGCGAATCAGGGAGCTAACCAACCGAAACCAGAACAAGAAAGTGTCCTTTTGCATGCACAGCAGCAAATTGCACTGCAGGTGAGTGAAAGTTTCTGGCTTTTCCTGTATTACTTATGTGGTTTTTTAAATGAATTCCACGTGCATGTGCCATATTCCAACAAAACAAATTATGATAGGCATATATGATTGAAACCTCGTCATATAATATAGTCTTTTATATTTCACTCACGGATATAAAAGACATATAATGTTCATATTTCAACCGAGAAACTTAAGGAAAATTGATAACTGCATATTTGCATCAAGCTTGTTTTATCTAACCTTTTGCTTCAACCAGCATGCAGACGGGTTCTTTGGAGTGACCCGATGGACGGAAAATGCTTAGTATATTCTAAACTTGTAAATTTATTTTAAAAGGAATAGAATATCCCAATACTTGAGTGGTAAATGACCAATAGAATATACTTTTTATTTGCATTACAGGTACTTGGTAATGTGAGCATGAATGAATCAATAAGTATAAGACCTGAAATATGTATTGAACGTAGGTTTGCTAGTGTGCTGTGAGTATCACAAAAAATCTAGGCTCAGCATGTTAGAGAAAGTTGGAGGTGGTTTAATGAAATACTTTCTATTAGAGTATTGTTAGGGCATGTTTGGGAGTGGTTTTGGCTAGATCACTTTCATTTTAAAATAGACATGTTTGGCAATAATTCATGAAATCACTTTAAGTGATTCCGGATCAATCACTTGGGAGGTAATTCTCCAAGTGACTTTCGGTAAAAATTTAAGTTAAAAAGAAAAATTAACTTTTGAAATGGTTATTGTTTTAAATTTCAAAATTTGAAAAATTAACTTTTGAAATGGTTATTGTTTTAAATTTCAAAATTTTCCTTTCTATTTCACCTTAAATTTTGAGAAAATCAGAAAATTTATTTTTTTCTTTCTAAAATTTTTGTTGCTCTCTAACTTTATTTATCTTTAATTTTGTTTCTCTAAACTTTTTATTATCTCTCAATTTCTAGTCTCCCCTATCTAAGTTTATTTCTCTCTAAAATTATTGAGATTTATTATTTAGTTATATATGTCATGTTTTTCAGTCTAATTACTTCATAATTGGTGTTAAATATTGTAATTACTTAATAAATGATGTTAAATAAATTTTCAAATGTATGTTATTAATTTGGTAATTCTAGAATTACTTTTGAAATCAAACATTAGTCTTTTTAATTACTTAAAAAATATTAAATAAGAATAATTTTTTTGGTAAGTATGACATTGATGATATGAAATATACAAAAGAGATCATAGGGCTGATTACAAAAAGACCTTGAAATAATTATATAAGAATTGCTTTCACAAAAATCACTAATTCTAAAATCATTTCAAACATGCCCTTAATTTGGACCGATAGAAGTAGTTCTATAGCTTTGCTTTGGAATATTTGGAGGTAGAGAAATCAATAATGTTTTGGGGTGTTGTAGCCCCTTCTGATTTATCTTTCAAATTTTCAGATAGTGTTCAGCTTACTATAATGTCCTTATGGGTTTAAAACACAAGAAATTCTTTTGTAATTACAGCTTATCCTTGATCCTTCAAGATTGGAAAGCTTTGATTCACTAGCTTTTCGTCGGGAGGGGGCTTTCTCATCCCCCGGCCCTGAGGTTGTTCTTTTTTTTCTTTGTGTTTATTAAGTTTGTTTCTTATCCACAAAAAAATTTTTATTGGCCATATATCTTGTAGTATGGTAATTTATAACTGTGAAGTATTATCTTGGTGATTCATCGTCTTATTAAGCTTCTCTTGCAGAAGCTGATGCTACAGCCAGGGGCTGTATCCACCAAGGTTCTTTGTCTTACACAAGTTGTTTCTCCCGAAGAGCTTATTAATGACGAAGACTATGAAGATATCATGGAAGACATGCGAGGGGAAGGCGGGAAATTTGGTAAACTAATGCTTTGGTTGATTGTATACCTCTCATCATGGATTCTATATTTTAGTTATGAACTTCAAGGCTTCATGCATACTTATCTGTTTCTTGTTTGTTTTTTGTGTGTGATATATCTGTTTTACAGCCTTTTCTTGTCCTCACATTCTGGTAGAAAGAATCAGACAAATAACTTACAGACAGAAGCCTCCATAACCTTCTTATCTTTAGACCACCCACCTGATGTGTTTCTTAATCGATCTTGCAAATTTGTGGTTTCAAATGGTTTCATTATGTCTTTGCAGGTACACTAGTGAATGTCGTCATCCCACGTCCGAGACCCAACGATATGGCACCTGGAGTTGGAAAGGCATGAATTTCTTGCACCTTACACAACCATATTCTCCATTTTCTTTCCTTAGGAAATTAGTTTTTATCCTTTAGTTTCTTGGTCCTGCAAACAAGGGTTAGTAATGATATCTAGAATGATCGGATTAAAAGAGACGTTAAAATTGTGAAAATCTAATCTCAGCTTCCCTTTTCATTCACCATCCACTTAGATCTCTTCCGTTTCATCAAATTTGTCCTAGAAAAAAGGGATCCCTTCCCATTGTGGTTCTTGTTTGGTCCCCCCCCCTTCGTTTCAAGAATAGTGTGGTTTTATTATGGTTGCTATTTACCTAGAATATTTACTCCCCTATCAATTTTTTGACACCAAGAGGGTGTTCGTAAGCCTGCACGGACACTTAGATCTGATCTGTTCTCGTGGCTTAAATTGTAGCAGGTGTTTTTGGAGTATGCGGACATCGATAGTGCAACGAAAGCTCGAGCTGGTCTGAATGGAAGAAAATTTGGAGGGAACCAAGTGGTGGCTGTATTCTATCCAGAGAACAAGTTTGCCCAAGGGGAGTATGATGCCTAAACTGTCTCACTACTTTTACAAACACAATAATTGGACAAATTTGTCATTAGCAAAAAAAAAAGAAAAAAAAAAAAAGAAACCAAACTATTTACTTTAATCTAAGTGGTAAGATTGTGTGCTAGTATGTAATCCTTTTCTTAGCCAAGTAATCCAAGTGAGATGTAGATTTAGATTCTAAGATTTTAATTCACTCTCTTATCTCTTAAGTAATGGATATAGCTTCAACACTCTTCTTACTCTTCTAATTTGTTGGATCTTTGGCACTATTATTCAATTGGGTTTGATCTTTACTTTGTTTCCTCCTCTTTTTGAACTTGGAAAAAATTGACTGATTGACTAAATTGTGTGGGTTAGGTTGGTTTTTCTCCAGGTTAAGTAGAAATGTCTAGTAACTGGAAACTAAAACTGTGATTCTCTTCTTCCTTTATGGAAAGAAAAAGTAATGTGCTCTTTTTTCAATTTCAAATAATTGGAAGTTTCACTTGTTGATTTTTATGCTTAAAATATCTCATGGTTTCATTCTTTGTTTTGTTTTAATTTTTTTTGGGAAAAAGCGATAGAAGGTGCTTTATTGAAATGTATGTTTTCATATGTTGACAACTATCAAATTCTCGTCCACATTTGTTGTGGAAACTCAAATATTTGGATCCTTTATGTTTCTCTCTTTGATGTTGCAACAAATGTTTCGAACTCATCGTTTAGGGGCTCACTCTGGACGTTTCAAGGCTATTTTAGTCTTTTCCATAATGAATTTAAAGTGGTTAATATATACCCCTATTTTATTTACTTTTCAAAAGCAAGAAATATAATTTTTTGTAATATGTGTTAACAAAGGAAAATGTCAACATTTCAGGTATGGACTGGACGTGGTTATAATTTGGTTCTTATGGTTTTTGAAAGTTTCAATTTAGTCTCCCGAATTGTACTTGTTACCATACTAACACTTTTCTAACGATTACTTGTGAGATTTAATTAAATAGTTAGAAACAAAATTGTTGACGCTAAAAATTGTTGTAATTGGGAGAGATATTTTGAAGGATTGTTTGAACAAATCTATATATTCCTTTAAAAAAGTAAATAAAATATGTATGCAGGTACAATTTTAAATTTGCTAAAAAGAGTTACCATGAGTCTTTAAACAATTTTATCATAAAGTTTTTATGGTTCAATTTTTAATTCCATTAATTAAATTATTCAATATATATCATAATATTTTGAAATATATAAAACATATTTAATTATAGTAGCACAACGGATGCGTGGTGGCCAATAATCCATAGGTCCCAAAAATTAAACTATAAGAAATAATAAAAAAAACTTTTAAAAATTCTACCTCTTCCTTTAATAGGCTAAATATGCAAAAAAAAATAAAAAAAAATAAAAATTTTCTATATTTGAAAATTTATTATTCTGTTGTTGTATTTGTGAAAATGATAATGAATGTTATCATCCGTTAAAATGGTTTTTAAAATATTAAATCAAAGTGGCGCAGCGGAAGCGTGGGTGGGCCCATAACCCAGAGGTCCCAGTTTTGATTTTGAAAAATTTTAGTGTAATCTCTATGATTCCAGAAGATTTAATTTAATTATTATAATTTAGCCAAATCTTGCAATCGTTCTTAATCTAGTTGAAATTTCATTTAAACTATTGAAACTAATTTCAAAATTTTTAAAAGTAAGAACGATCAAATTGAAATTCAGCATATCACAAGTACCAAACGAAAAATGAAACCAAACCATATGGTTTACCCTATCAAAAGTAATTATTTATTTTTTTAGTACTCATAAAAAAAAGTAATAAGGGCCGTAGATTCAAAAAACCATAAAATTCCTATTAGTGATACTTTGTTAATGACTTTATATGTAATTAATCTTTTAAGATAAAATAAAAATATTATCTAATTTTATGTATGTGGATAGAAATTTGGGGTGGAGTGCCAATTATAGCTGAGATATGTCGAAGTCTCGCATACATAAAAGTACCAATAAAATATTAACAAAATACCCATATGGACATTTTTATAAAAAATGTTAACCGAATAAGCTTAGAACTTAGCTCAAGTGTTATAATTAAAACTATTTTGTCCTAACATGTCGAAAAAAGAAAAAGCTACATTACATAGCACGATTTTTATTTTCTTTATTATGCATTTTCACAAACTTCACACACAACAAAAACACAGAAATTCAAAATTTGTTGGCGATCAAAATTGTGGAGGGCGAAAAATGGAGGAGTTGCTTAGAGCGAAGCCAGGGCTTCACAATCACGATCGAATCGAACAACATTTCACTCTCCCCCTTCACGCTCCCGGAGATCTTCAGATAATACTTCATTCCGGCCACCACCTGCTTCTCCGCCGCCACCACCGCCCTGAATCTCACCTCTCCGCCGCCGTTCCTCCGCCGATTGTACTCCTCCACGCAGAATCGCCCTAATTCCTGCACCTCCTCGTTCGTTCTCACGTCTTCGATCTCCGTCCTTCCGCCCAATCTTCCGCCGTATCCTTCCGCCGCAGCCGCCAGCGTCACGGCCGCGATTGCGATCGCCGCCGCGATTAATCTTCTTCTCGCCATTTGAGGGTTTTTTTTTTCTTTTTCCTTTTCTTTTTTTACGGGATTGACGAGGGGAACGAAGAGGGAGGGTTTGTTTATATAGTGGAGGAGATGGAGATTGGGGGTTGTTTGGACACGCGAATAAGGAAGCAGGTGGCGGGGTTGCGGTTCGCCGCGTCTTTTCTGGACAAAACATGGATGACGACAAAATAATATTTAAAAACAAAAAAAAAAAGAACAAAGTAATTATTTTATTATTGAGGAATAATAATATCAGTATGGAGTATGGAGTGGAGTATGGAGTGGACTGAATACCGTGGAGTTTAAAATTTAGTGATATTTTTAGAAAATTATAGAAACGAAAAGAAACTTCCAAAAATTATTAATGAGGAAAAAAAAACCTATTATGTGATAGATGTCTTTAGGTGTCAAAATATGAAATGTCTAAATAATCCTAATCCCGTGTCTAACTCAGTATGAAATTTCTTCCATTTACTTAGTATCTACAAGTGTCAAGTTGATTCATATTCATACATACTTAATTCTCAATATCGCATGTGTCTATTTTCTATCTATTATCAGTGTCCAAATGTAACACCTCATGGTCGTACAAATTGCCATAATTCATAGATAATTTGGAAGTGAGATTTTTAGTGGATTTTTTGTGAAAAATCTTTGTTAAATTTCTAAAAGAATTTATGTTTTATTTTCAATTTTCTAAATTTATAATTATATTTTATATTTTGTCAAATCTCGTATTTTTCGTTGTTCGTGATTCGTGGTACCTCATTTTTGCTACATAATTTTACAAGAAAACCAACTTTTTTACCCATCAACTCGACACAGTCTATCAAATTTTATCCTAAATTTTGAATTTCATTGTATTGAATATTTATACGAAATTGTTTTAATTTTTATGTAAAACTTAAATAAATGTTACAATTTTTAGGAAATTTTTTTTTTGAGAGAGTACGTTTTGATTGGTTACTTGTCATGAAAAATATGTATGGTATGAAATTAATTTAGGTTAATACAAAATGACATTGGAGCTGTGTTTTCGTCCTTGTTTTGGTCAAATTATTTAATAGTTTAATTATTTTGTATATTTGTACATTGCTTTGAGAAAAACTAATTTGTGTAGCATGAGAGAATGATTGATTTATTTGCAATTTCTCCTACGACCAAAATTGAAGTAGCTGGTCCAATTTAAAATTAAAGGTTGAATTAGTAGAAATTGAATAAATCCAGAATCCAATTTTCTAAAATTGAAAGTTTAGAGATATAATTTTATTTAAGTTAATATTTTTTAAAATCATAAGAATGAAATTAAAATGGTGCGTAAGTTAATATTTATATATATAATTTAACATATATAAATATATATATTTGAATAATTGTTTAAAAATTGAAAGGAATATTAGTTATCGTCTTGGGGTAATAAGTGATAGAGAGGGGAGGATGTCAACGTCAGCGTCTGTTGGTGTGCGAACGTGGCCGCCAACACATCACATAAACGCATGCTCTGTCCGCCACGTGGCCTCCTGCATGCTATTATTTTTATTCCCTCTCAATTCCCAAACTCATCTTCCTAAACTCTTTATCCCACTCCCACTACCTACTTCTTCCATTTAGGTCTTGACACGATGCTATTTTATTTTTGGTTAAAATACTATTTCGATCCCTATATTTTTAATTTTGATTTATTTTAGTCGTTGTACTTTTAACATTAATTCATTTTAGTTCAGGTACTTTATCAATATGTAATTCGTTTTTATGATCCTCCTACTTTTTATTTTTAATCTCATTTTTCTATCAAGATTTTAACACGATACTATGTTCAATATATTTCTTAAAATGTAATATCAAGATTTTATATTAAAGAGTTTTTGTTATTCGTAGAATTTGGTGTTAAAATTTTGAAAATATGGACCAAGATAGTTACCTTTTAAAAGTATGAGGACGGAAACGGAACATTATAAACTAATATGAATTAAAATTGAATGTACAGATGACCAAAATATACATTTTTTAAAATATAGAGACTAAAATAAATCGAAGAAAGTATAGGGACCAAAATAATTTTTAACCTTTATTTGTAAACGCTTTTATTTTTAGTAACTTTAAATGTCTAACATCTTTGGATTCGTTTTGTAAGGTTGTTGTTTTTTGTTTTTTCTTTCTTAATAAATAAAATAGAATTGCATCCACTAGATAACTGTTTCTTATTCCTCGTACTTTCTTCTTTATTGAAAACAAAAACAAAAATTTGTTTGGTCACTAATAAGTTCTACTGAATTAACGAAGTGGGACTTCCTCTCTCCTGATCTTATTAATTGGTTGAAGCAACTAATTAACAAGATAAGAAACTAATTTCTAACTAATTACAATTAACTCAATACTTTCCCCAAGATGGACTAAAAATATCCAATAAACTCATCTTGAAAATCAAAGAGGAAAATACAGAAATGGGCAAAGGCTTAGTAAACAAGTCTGACGTTAGTTGAAACTGAGAACGAGTGGGTGAAAGCCATCAGAAACCTTATCTCGAACCGAACAAAATGGCAGTCTAATTCAATGTGCTTGGTCCTCTCATGAAAAGTCTGTGTATTGCAACTATATCATCGAAGAACAACATAGCTGGAGGAAGGAACCACACTTGAAAAATCCTTCAAGAGACTGACCAACTGCACTAATTCACAAGTTGCATGAGCTAAAACTCTATATTCGGCCACTGCTGAAGATCTAGATACCATAGTCTGTTACTCATGAGGATCTTATAAGGATCCATGGGAAGGACAACAGGCTTAAAACCAAGGAGATGATAATCTTCAAGTAAAGTAAGCACGCAATAATGTCGTTGAGAAAGACAAATACCAGTAGAATTTGAAGCACTCCCAAACCAAGGAAGAATTTTAAAGAGCCTAAATCTTTTAAGTTGAAACTGTTTATTGACAAGTATCTTAAAATCATGGATGACAGAAAAATCAGCTCCATGATAATGATAATAATATCGTATACATAAACCAAGTAAGACAATAAAAGATGTACTAGTACCTCGAACAGAAAGAGAAAAATTAGACTTGGTTAAATTAGTTTCTATACTTTCAAAATGTACCTAGAGAGAAAATAGAATTCTTTAATAATGACAATAAAAGCTTTTACTTAAAGAAGTAACCCGATCTTGTAGAGACATGACAATAAAAGCTTAGAGAGATAAAATGAAATATTTAAAAGAAAAATTTTAGAGAGAAAAAACGATATTTAGAGAAAATAAAATTTTAGCAAGAGAAAAGTTAACCAAATTAAAATTTTTTCAGAAAAAGAGTATAGTTTAGAGCAAAAGTCAAAGAAAAAAAATTAGAAAGAGAGTAAAATGATCAAGAGAAAAACTAAAAATAGTAGATAAAGAAAAGTTTGATATATTTTCCAAAGAACAAAAAGTTGTTAAAACGAAATTTCAGAGAGAAAAAAATTTAGACAAATATTAAATTTTTAGAGAGAAAAAATGAGAATGACATGTTACACAAAAAGAAAAAAATAATTTTATACCTATATACCTATATACGTACATATATCTATATATATATATATTATTTTCAAATTTGCTAAAGACTTACCCTGAATCTCTTAATAATTTTATGGTTCAAAATCTTAATTCCAAATAAATTCACTCAGATATTAATTAAACTGAATATATATCATAATAGGTTAAAATATAAAAAACATATTTAATTTTCAACAAATATGGAAGTGTTGTGGGCCCATAACCCATCGGTCCCAAGATGGAAACTTGACTCTCGTAATAAATAAAAAAATGGTAACTCTCTCTTGCTTTGAAAAAGTAAATAAAATATAGGTATATATTAATAATTTTAAAATTATTATGGGAAAGACTAAAATAGTCTTAAAACCTCTCTTATATTGAGGGTAATTAATGTATATCAAGGTACATATACGAGGATAAAAAGCGAATCACGTAAAAATATCTAAATAGATTCGAAATATTTTATAATTTTCTATATTTGAAAACTTATTATTCTGTTGTATTTCTAAAATATAGGTATATATTAATAATTTTAAATTTATTATGGGAAACACTAAAATAGTCTTAAAACTTCTCCTGCAATTAATGTATATCAAGATACATATATGAGGATAAAAAGTGAATCACGTGAAAATATCGAAATAGATTCGAAATATTTTATAATTTTCTATATTTGAAAAATTATTATTCTGTTGTATTCGTAAAAATGACAAGGTAGATTGTCACCTATTTAAAGTGTTTTTTAAAACATTAAATACACATTTAATTTTCAACAAATTAGAGTGCTGCAGCGGAGATGTGGTGGGCCCATAACCTACATGGACAAGTTTTACGTGGGACTTTTACTTATATTTGTACTACACTGAGTTTTGCCCTCAATTTCGAGGGAGTTATAAAAAGGGTTGTCTCATCTCCATTTTCTATAAATATCTAAATAGATTCGAAATATTTTATAATTTTCTATATTTGAAAAGTTATTATTCGGTTGTATTTGTAAAAATGACAATGTAGATATTCACCAATTTAAAGTGTCTTTGAAATAGTAAATATACATTTAATTTTCAATAAATCAGAGTGGCGCAGCGGAAGCGTGGTGGGCCCATAACCCACAGGTCCCAAGATCGAAACTTGGCTCTGATAATTTTCAATTCTTTTTTTAATTACAACAAGATGATTCGGGAGACTAAATTGAAACTTTTAAAAACCATAAGGACCAAATTGTTTATAGAGGTGAGGAATTGAGCGGACAAGTTAATTATCATGTTCTAATTCCTTGTGTTAAAAGAATTGATGCAAATCTTGCTTATTTTTTCCTATTTTGAATTAATTGTCCAGAACCTAGAGAAGTTGCCGGAGTAGCAGAATTAGAGGAGAAATGCCGGAGCGGCTAGAGCATGTCTGTCGCTTTCTGCAGCGTACTACATACGTTTTACTGAGTTTTACCCTAAATTTCGGGGGAGCTATAAGAGCAAGAAGATGACGGTTGTCTCATCATGAATCCTCAAGGTGAAAAGATCCCAAACATTCCTTGCACTGAAAAAGAAAGGAGAAGAATAGCTCCAATTTCTATAAATATCTAAATAGATTTGAAATATTTTATAATTTTCTATATTTGAAAAATTATTATTGTATTGTATTTGTAAAAATGACAATGTAGATTGTCACCCATTTAAAGTATTTTTAAATATTAAATACACATTTAATTTTTAACAAATCAGAGGTGCAACCGAAGTGTGGTGGACTTATAACCCACAGGTCCCAAGAACAAAACGGCAATTATTTCGTCGCATATATCAGCAACGAAACCTTATGAACTTGTTGATCTTGATCCACCAAGTGTGTTAGTAAGACACTTGTTATATTTTAATTAACCTCCAACATATAATTTTTATTACCTAACAATTTGTGATTTGTCAAAATTTATCAACAAATAAATTACAAATAAATAATATCATTTTGTACCTACAGAAAGATCAACCAACCAAACTAACTCCAATATTGAAAATAATTAACCAAACTATCTCAACTCTTGTTCTTTTTCTCTCCTCGTTTCTTCTTCCACTCTCTCCAACTCCAAAACTATTGCTTCAATCTTCCCTTCAATGGCATCGTCGCTAAGCTCAAACACACTCTCAACCACCCTCACTAACCTCCACAAGCTCGCCACAATTATCACTCCACCACCTTTCCTCTCCGCAACGACCTCCAAAACCAATGCCACCACCGCCACCACCCCGTCCACGATGCAGCCCGGTTGTCGGAGAAACAACCCGCCAAGCCCCACCGCGAGAGCCACCGTCTTCGCCGAGAGCAAGCTCAAGATGGCAATACCCACCCAATGGAAGTAAAGAACTTCTTTGGCTCCCTTCTATCAAGAATATATATGAAAGTTTTAAATTATGTTAAATGATAAACTCCTAAGTTTTAAAATTATCTAATAGGATTCATACACTTTCATGGTTAATATATTGGTCCTTAAACTTTAATATGTGTCTAATAAATTAATTTTTTATTTATTGAATATTTTTCTTTAAATTCAAGTATTTTATGTCTAATAAGTTTCTCGTCTGAATTTTAAAAAATATATGATAGATCACAAGATTAAAAGTTAGACACTTTTTAGCAATATTGAAAGTTTATGAATCTCTTTAGTGTTCAATCACCCAATCACCTATTATTATTAATAGATAACTTGTAAATTTAACCTTTAAATGTAATAATGACTTTATAATTGACTTAAACTTTTGGATTTAGTAATGATTTAATATGAACCTTATGATTTGCGGACAAGCTGCAAGATATCAACGACGAGGAAAGTTCGAGGACGGTGATAGTGAGATCCATTAAGAGGAGAATAATAGTGACAACATGAGCCGGAGTGGATTCGAGGAATGCAACTAGTTGGGTTTGCCATGGCGCCGATGTGTCGAGGCGGTTTCGGTTTGTTTGGATTGGGGCAGCGAAGAGAGTTCGCCATCTTCGTCGTTTTTCGCTGAGCTTGATGACATCTTGGATCGAAAATTCTAAGGACTCAAGGGAAGGTGAGCCGGTGGCGGGTTGCGGTGGAGACGAGCGGTGGACGAAGTTAGAGAGGTTAGCCATGGAGGTGAGGTTGAGAGGTAGATATCAATGGCGGGTTCAATAGGTTAAATACATAACATGCTGTGGAGGTTACGTTATGTAGATGGATGGCTTCATAAGTTTTGTGGTGAAACCTAAATTAATGCTTAAAGCATAATAATACTTCAGATCTCTTTTACTTTCTCTTGTAAATTGTTCACATTATATTCTTGATGCGTATTACACAATATTTATTATTAATAAATAAAATCCAGACTAAGTTTATAATGTATATGCCAATTCGAGTATAGTTTAAGTGGATAAAGTCGATAGTTTAATTTCCCTTCTGTAATTATTGAATTAAAAAAAAAAAAGATTGAAGTACTATATATTTTGGTCCATGTACTTCCAAAACGTCTATTTTTGTTTCAATACTTTTAGCTTTTGTTCATTTTAATTTCTGTACTTTAAGAGGAGAAAAAGATGTCAATATGAGCACAGCTCAACCGTAATTGGGATTTACTACTTTTCTTGAGATTGGAAATTCAAACTCCTATACCCTCCATACGTTGTACTAAAAAATTCTTCTATAAAAAAGATGGAGGTTTGAATCTCCACCCCATATATTATTATGTGGATGGCGTAGGTTTGATTTGTTGTTCCTCTTATTAATGATGCAATATAATGTTGTAAAAGAAAAATGCATATTAATGATGCAATATAATGTTGTAAAAGAAAAATGCATATTTACTCCTTTGATCTAGGCAAATAAGGCGATTAGATGAGGGAGTTCAAATTGATTAAATTATAAAGTTATTTTTTAAAAAATAACATAATTACCATCGAAATCAAAGTCAAATGTAATGTAAAATAAATTAAAAAAATGTTACATGTTTATGTTATATTTGAAGAAAAAATGAAAAGTTGTGACATTTTTTGAAATATATATATCTCTTTCCTCTCCTCTAAAACTTTAGTTTTTTACCATCACATTTATTTTTCAGTTCGTTCATGTTTAATTCTATATCATCATATATTTTTTTAGTATAATATGTAGGGGTGGGAGATCGAACTCACAACATTTTGGTTGGAGATTATGTCGATTATCCCTGAGTTGTGCTCTCATTGACTATAGCATCACAAATTTAATGTTGTTTTATTGAAATAAATTGACACACACCAATAATAAATTTGAAACTTTTAAAAGAATAAAGAAGAAATTAAAAAATTTCCATAAATAACACTAGGACCAAATTAATATAATATATTTACCCTGTTATATACTTTTTTTTTCCCTTAAGAGTAACCTAATTTGCATATTATTCATATGGCGTAGGATGTGGAAATTCTTTTCCACGTGTTAATATTCTTAATGACATTTTTAAAAGAAAAAATATTGTCGATAATATGAAATATAAATACTTAATATTCTTAAATTTTTTAATTTATTGTCGATATTGTAAAAAGAAATTATTTAATAATTCGGAACTTTTTTACAAATTTATGTGAAAGTTTCATGCAGCTAAAAACAACTCAAGAAATGTATATATATATATATATATATATATATATATATATATATAAATTTATTTTTAATTTTCTGTTTAAAGATTCAGTTTAGTTGGTTGATTTTTATAGGTAGGTGGACCGATCGATTGACTGTTGATTTTTTGTAGGTCCAAACCGACCACCATCGACGGACTCCGATTCGATCCATTCCCGTTGATCAGGCTCAATTTTTCATCCTCAATTATATTGTGCTTTCCAAGTATGTTCGTTCTACCCTTCTTCCACCGATATCGGAAGTTGCTTCCCTTGATGAATGGTTATACAAAGGTGGTCCTTATGAGCTATTATTCTATTCTTCTTACTTGGTGTAGCATGTTACATGGGTCGAGAGTGGCACCTCTAACTATACTACACTACCTAACCTGTTGATAAAAGATCGAATCCCGCTGTGATGCTTATTACAATTCGAGAGATCTTTGATAGAATTAAACCAAACTCTATGAAATATCTCACAATATATAATAATGTAAACCAACCATGTGAGAGTTGGTAATTTTGGTTAGTTGAGTTGTTTTATTATCTTGTTGGTTTGTTGTTTCCATTTTTAAACAGAAGGGTATTATTATTTAGTATCATATACAGCTGCAACAATCATTTTTATATATTTGCAAATTTTTCATGATAACAATTTCTCTTTAAATTTTCTATATTCTAAAAACTAATATTGTTTATCAACATTTTATTTACTTTAGCTTTTCATTATTAATTACTAAATGTCTAAAGAAATTAGAATTATAAAATTCATCCTTCTAAAATTTTAAGATCCACCAACTCAGAATAACTAACCGATTTGAATGAACCTAAGTTCATCAATTAGTCAAGATATTAGTTACTTGCTTCGGAGATTCAATCACCTCACCTCTTTTTAGTAACATTTTTAAAAGGCTCCACATCATTATCAGGTGTCTCAAATATTGTTGGAAAAAATTATTTAATAATTCAGAAGTTTTTTACAAATTCATGTGAAAGTTTGGTGCAGCTAAAAACAACTTAAGAAATGTATATACGTATATATATCTCTAATTTATTTATAATTTTCTGTTAAAAATTCAGTTTAGTTGGTCAGATTTTTGGAGGTCTAAACCAAATACCATCGAGGGACGTCGGTTCGATCAATTCTCCGACTCAATTTTTCATCTGTTTTCTCCAAGTGTGTGCTTGTTTCCATCCTTTTCCTTCTATCGATATGGGAAGTTGTTTTCCCGTTGATGAATGGTTATACAAAGTCGTCCTTGTGAACTAATTATTCTACACTTCTTACTTAGTGTGTAGCATGTTACATAGGTCGAGAGTGATGCATATAATTAACCATACTACGCTACCTAACCTGTTGATAAAAGATCGAATTCCGCTATGATTGTGCACCCCGAATGCTTAAGTTTGGTTAGTTGAGGTGTTTTATTATCTTGTTGGTTTCGTGTTTATTATAAACTAGGGGTTTCGAACAAAAGAGTATTATTATTTAGTATCATTTTATGTAGCTCTGTAACAGTCATTTTTATTATTATTTGCAAACTTTCCTTGATAACAATTTGTCTTTAAATTTTCAAATTCTAAAAATAATCTTACTTACTTTAGCTTCCATTATTAATTACTAAACATGTCTAAAAGAAATTAGAATTATAAAATTCATCCAAATTATATATGTTTGAAAATTTTAAGTCCCACCACTGAGAATTACTACCATATTTGAAAGCCGACATGAACATATAGTTCATCAATTAGTCAAGACATTAGTTACTTACCTCTCTAAAGATTGGAGAGATTCGAATCACCCCACCCCTTCTTGAACTAAAAATAAATTTAAAAACATATTAAAAAACAATCAAATGATCGAGCTATAAACAAACCCATCGCCATATGATACAAACAATCATTTTCTCTTTACCATATCATTGTTTTGAAAAGGAGAAAAAAGAAAAGAAACAAAATCATGAATGAAGAAGAGGATTTTGTGTTTGAGCAGCCATTGAAAGTTCAAATTGCCTTAAAGAAATGGAAGGGAAATTAGAGAGAAATTCAGAAGGAACAAAGTTATTGAGATTATTTTCCCATCCCTTTATAGGGTTTGTAGTGGTGGAGCCATCAACTCCTATGTGTGTCACATGCTTCACATCTGTTGGATATCCAATCTCCATTTCCATTTCCTCTTCCTCTTCCTCTTTTCTCAAAACTAGGGTTTCATTTGGCACATCACAAACCAATAAAGAGCAAAAATTAGTAAGAAAATGATCCAAGAATATAAGAAAACAAGAAATATACTCCTATAATAGGAATAAATAATTAAATTTGTCGTGGCCCATCGGTTTAAGTTTAAGATTTCAAATTTAGTGGGTACTGATCAAACGTGTGCATACCGACCTAAGTATACCTTGATTGGTCAATGCTTTAATAACCTACCTAAGAAAATAAAGAAAATAAGAAATACTCATTGAATATGGATAAATAATTAGTGATATGACCAAGAGACTAATAAATAGTAGACTAATTATGAATTTCTTTTTCTATTCTGTGAATAATGTTATTGTTGTTTGAAGGGGTTTTTTTTTTT